AGCCATCTCTATTCACTAACGATTTCGTACGGAGTAAGTAACCGATATTAAAACTGTTAGTTCTCAGTCCACGCAGAATTTGATTCTCTACAAGTTTTATTCTATGATTATTTTCCCTTAGAGAAATCTTTTACACGCTGCAGCGTCATTTTTGGTAATTTGTATGAGTTTTCGACGAATTTGGTAAAAATCAACATTGGTTGATCGTGGTTATCGACGATACCACTTAACCAAATTATTAAGTTTGTTACGGTCTTTAATTTAGAAAAAATAGAAAGAAAAATAATCAAGAATCAATTATATATTAATAATTATCTAACAGGCGCCACTCTATTTAATTGGTTTAATATGGAAAATAGGGAAAACCATAAAAATAAATAAATTTAATTTTAAAAAAAGATTAGGACACGGAGTGAGCTACGAACTCGGAACCTTTGGGTTTAAAAACATATGTTAATTAACCTCATAACCTATCGAACCTTCTTACTTGGTTAATAATGACTTTCTCTAATCCCTCGAATAGGGTTTTACAATTCCTTATTAAACCTTTAAAAAAAAACAATTTAATATATACATACAACGTGAAAACAAACTGAAGAAAAATAAGAAAATAAAACTGGCTATTATTAATACTAATGATGAATTTACTTAATTCTATTGATTTAAATAACTGTTAAAGGAAATGAAAATTATGAACAAGAAATTGGATTTATAAGAAAACAAAGAAAATACAATTAACTTTAATTATCAAAGAAAAGATTATAAAATTATTATAGTAATAAACATGAACTTATGACTAAACAATAAACCAATTACAAATATTTGGGGGGAAAATAGATAGGAAAAAACTTTTATGTACATATTTACAATATCCCACTGGTTGAACTCTTGTTTAATTGGCACACTGAGTTATCTGAAGAAGCGGGAACTTATTCGAACTAGCGTCGTCAAGATCTCCCCAGTTTATCTCCTCTAGCTGTGAAAATATTCATTCACCAACTTGTAATATCAAGCGGCACTCGTCGGTGATAATCACAGGTTCTTGGAGAGAAAAAGAAAAATCCGGTGTACACCGTAAAACTGAAGTATTTCACACAACCAAATCCTTAGCGTGCCTCAACACTCGCGAGGTTCCGCCATCTCTCTCTCAACCAGTGTTGCCGCGCGCTCTGTGACAAATCCTCGTGCATCCTCGTACGCCTGCTCATTCTTAACTAGCACTATTGTAAGCCCAGTGTTATTGTTGTTTTTTTATAGTAAAATTAGATCAGAGTTTTTTATTTTTACCTTTATTCATATATTTCAAAGTCTTTTTACATTACTTTTTTCTTAAGTTAATGGGTCAAGAAGTAAAATTAGCTTAATAAAATATATAAAAAGTTTATATATTTTTAGAAGCTACTGGAAACTTTATATAAAAATTATAATAGCAAAATAAACTTCTTAAAGTAAAATAAGTATCCATTAGTAGATCCAAGATTTAATTTGGGGGGAGGGACTCTGGGGGGAAATTACGATAACAATTTTTTTTTTTAAATTTATCTAGAATATATTTACAATTGCAGTTTTATGAAGGAAATAATGGATATAATTTCTCGTATTTTATTTTATTATTATTTTACAAACTAATTTTTTTTAGTATTTCATTCTTCGTTACAAGTTTAGGTACTCGTTCGACGCACAATTTAATGGTCTTTAATTTCTTAAACTTTTGTATATAGGTATGCATGTGTTTTTTTTTTTTTTTTGTTTTTTTTCTTCTTAGTTTTAATTTTCTTATTTTTTAGGTTATTTTATTTTATTGTCTATTGTATATACTTTTGATTATTATTTTGTTCTATTTATTTTATTTTTTTGTACATATGGTGTGAATGTCATCCTACCTCACTATAACCAATGTCCAACAGACAGATTGTTATAATACTCAATAAAGAAATTTAAAAAAAAAATTTCTTAAAAAGTACATTTTTGGCTTCTATGCACCGTTTAGGAGTTATAGGAGAAAAAATATAGCTATTTTTTGCTGTAAAATGTTTTCCATTGGTGGCATGCGCTAGCAATTTTATTTATCACATGTCTCAACCAATCATTTGATACCTTATTCATCAAAATCCATCGGTTCTGTGAGCCGGAATAGAGATTAGAGATATCTACTATATAATCAGATTTTTAATATGTATCCACTTACCAATACATAAATAAACAGTAAAATAGACGATATTACCTACATTTAATTATAATTTCGTAAGAAAAATAACCAATTATTTTTTAAAGTATAGGTACTATTATATCGTAACGAACCTTTTACAATTATTATAATCCTTTATCAGTTTAGAGATTTATTAATAAAAATTGTTTTTATCAGATAATTGATAGTTAAAATTGCTTGTTGATTAGTCATTTCAATGCTTTCGACAAGTAATGTAATTCATGCTGTCACCGAAATATATAGGTTTCAATCAATTTATTTTATATTAAAAAACAATTATTTTCATATCTATAAAAATTAATGTAAAACGTGATGAACGTTCACTGATAAAAAACTCGGAAAATGTGCCCCCCCCTTCACAAAATTATGATACCACTTACGCCATGCCGCTGACAGATTTATTGCGGGGCTTTCGGGATGAATCATCCCCTCCCCAAAATACTTGGGGAAAAAAACGCCCTCATAAGGAATAAATAAAGGAAGACTGGAAACAGGTTTTTATTTCTTTTCTCCAAGCCTTATTTATTTACGTACCTCTGATTTGTGCCATTTCGTCTATATAATAGGGCCCTAAATGCATGATTTTTTTCATTTAGATATCATTAGCCATATGGAAGTTATGACAACTTTTCTGATTTTTTTTTTAAATCGAAGGCTCCTGCCTTGACGAAAATTTTTATTTTTGGATTTCAATGAAAATTCGTATTTGAGGGTTTTTCAAGATGCGAAAGAAGAATCTCAAATCCGTTCCTCATTAAAAAAATATTTGAACCCACTTTGCTCTTTTGGGCGTTACGAATTGTTTCATTTCGGAGTTGATTCTTATAGATTTTGACAGTCTTTTTTATTTTTTTTTTTTTTTTTTTTTGTAGTGAATTCAGAAAGCTTTCAAATAAATATTGGTATTAACAGTAAAAAAATGTGTACTTTTTGAATTGAATGTGTAAAATACTGAATTCGTCATAAAAATGTATGCAGCTTGTTTTCGGGAAAGTGTTATATACATAAATTATAAGGGGAAGATTTTAGCCAAGTTTCATTGAAATCATTGAAGCCGTATTGGCGCTACATTCAAAGGCGAATCACGTTTTTCGGCCGCCATTTCGAAAGAAAAGGCCCGATGATAATGAAACGTATACAAAAAAACTTCTAAATATTATTACGACGTTGTGTCAAAATTTAAAAAAAAATCGGTGAAGAACTTTCGTAGATACTACAAAAGCAACAAACTACTTGAACAAACTACCATTTATATTTTTATTCACATACTATTTAATATTTTTATTTATTGATAACACTAAAGCTCGTCAACATCTATTAAACAAAAAAAAAAAAAAGGAAGAAAATCGGTTGAATAATAGAGGAGTAAAAGGGGCTGAACCGATTTGTGTTTGCCTGTTTATTTAATGATTTTCTCATTCACCCCTTTCTGACACCATGATATGAACCCGTAATCTTACATTGGAAATTGAATAGCTGTTACTTCGTTAATATTAGTCCGAAATGAACGATTTTTATATAGTTTAGAACTCAGAGGACTCTGAAACGTCTGAAACTGATCCCTCGAAAACCGCATATCGGAAATTTTGTCAAAAAATAATTTCTGTTAAAGGTCGAGACACGATTTATGTGATGCGGACAACAGATTTTCTTACTTTCACTTACTTTTCTTTTTTGTATGTCATTCACAAGTTAGATCCGTATTCTTATATGCGAAATTGAATAACTGTGATTTTTCTATTTCTATTTCTTCTATAATATTGAATTTGATGTGTATGTATATATATATATATAATGTATTTAGAAGCTAAAACAAGAATTTCGAAAGCCCAAAAAAAAATGATTGAATTTTATGAGATATCCACTTTATCTACATTTATTTTTGTATTTTCATATATCATTCCTGATAACATTCATTACAAAGATATTGTAGAATATATTCTTTAAGATTTAGTGGTGGAATATCTTCTTTAACATTTCTAGAATATTTAGTGGTAATGCTGTAAAACGAAACAACATGAAAATCTGAAAAAAAAAAAATAAAGGGAAATCGATGAAAAATCGAGTTTGGGTCCACTGTGCGTCGAGTTGCTGGAGATAACGTCCGAAACGTTGCCGAATACAAAGGGTTAATATCTGAGGCTCAAATAGCTTTCTCCAGATAGAGGTTAAATACCAGGAAGGGAAGGACCTTGTCTGACTTCGGTTTCAGATGAATGGAAGTCACCCCGAGAGCTTTCCATTCATTCTTAGGAAGAAAATATTTTCCTCCATCGTCATCCTTACAAGGTGAATCACTTTTCAGAGAGGTTTGAGCGTGGATAAGAGTCATCTCTTTGTATGCTTCACTTCTATAGTGTAGAGTGCATTCAGATCGCTAGTTGACCAACTTCTTTTGAACCCAGAAGAATTAACATCTACTTCCCAAGCTCGCTCATGTGAAAGGAATAAATGACAAAACAGATTTTGTAAACGCATGGGATCACTGTATTTTTCCTGTCAAGTGGCAACTTTTCTTCTTTTCAAATATCAACAAAAAAATTTGCTCAACAATTTTATCACTTCACTTCCACTGTGTTTGAACAGTTCAGCTTGTGTATAGAATCCATTATTTCCTCTTTGTCGGGTAATCTTATGGAATCTTCAGCATCCCTCTCTAAGAACGTTTGGATCCAAACTCTCTTGTTTTTCCTCATTTTGGTTATGAGAAACCCACTTCTCCTTTATGAAAGCTTCCTTTGTGAACAAAGATCCGTCTTTTTGTAATATGTTAATTCTAGAAATAAAATGTTTATTCTTCGAAAGATATTGCCATCTGGTCGGAAACAGAAGATAATGTTTCTGAATATAATTCTATATTGTGAAAATTGATAACCCTTATTCTTTCTTCTTCTTCTTTTTCCATCAACTGATCCCTGTCATTGGTCCTCCTCCTCATATCCGCCATGGTACTACCTCTGACTCGCCCAAGCCTCTCCATGAAGTCACAATACAACAGCCTGGAACTGCCTCTTGGTCGCCTTCCCTCTGGTTTGATTCTAGAAACCATTTCGCCTTTCGGTTATCGTCCATCCGGTACACATGGCCAAACCACTTCATGGTCTTATATTCAATTCCTTCCGTTCCTCCAGCAGTCTCTTCGTGGTTTTCAAAGAACTCCTGATGTATCTCATTTCTATGGCAGTTACTATGCTTACAAGTTTCTCTAGGACCGTCCAACTCTCTGCACTATACAATAAGACAGGCAGAAATACTGTTTCAAACAAAGCTATTATAGTTTTCTTCTTTATCTCCTGTTTACTTAATATTGTAGTGCAGTAGATTAAAAACATGCCAATGGCCTTCTTGACTCTATTTATAACCTCCTGGTCGATCATTCCATCTCTGCTCAAAATCGTACCCAAGTACTTATCTACTTAAAAAAGCTATCTACTTATTCTAACGGCTCATCATTACATTTTATGAGAAAACATCTGCTTAATTTTTGTAGGGACAACCGTTATAAAAATTTTATAGTAATATTTTTAATATTCTTTAAATATTTAAATATAGGAGGAAGATTATGATTTCAACATATCCTTAAATATCTTTATTAACGCTTATTGAAAAAAAAATCATATAAAATAAAAAGTCATGATAAAATATTGAAATATTTATTTATCAAGTTAAAAAAACATTTAGATCAAAATCAATTGGATTTATTAAGGATGTTTCTGCTCTAGTAATCTATCTCTTGTTCTTCTGTAGTTCTATCTGGCTGTGGCTCTTCTGTAGTTGGATCGTATGGGCTTCTAGTAGTTGGATCGTATGGTCCTCTGGTAGTTGGATCGTATGGTCCACTGGTAGTTGGATCGTATGGTCCTCTGGTAGTTGGATCGTATGGTCCACTGGTAGTTGGATCGTATGGTCCTCTGTAGTTGGATCGTATGGTCCACTGGTAGTTGGATCGTATGGTCTTCTGGTAGTTGGATCGTATGGTCCACTGGTAGTTGGATCGTATGGTCCTCTGGTAGTTGGATCGTATGGTCCACTGGTAGTTGGATCGTATGGTCCTCTGGTAGTTGGATCGTATGGTCCACTAGTAGTTGGATCGTATGGTCCTCTGCTAGTTGGATTGTATGGTCCTCTGGTAGTTGGATCGTATGGTCCTCTGGTAGTTGGATCGTATGGACTTCCGGTAGTTGGATCGTATGGGCTTCTGGTAGTTGGATCGTATGGTCCTCTGGTAGTTGGATCGTATGGGCTTCTGGTAGTTGGATCGTATGGTCCTCTGCTAGTTGGATCGTATGGTCCACTGGTAGTTGGATCGTATGGTCCTCTGCTAGTTGGATCGTATGGTCCACTGGTAGTTGGATCGTATGGTCCACTGGTAGTTGGATCGTATGGACTTCTGGTAGTTGGATCGTATGGTCCACTGGTAGTTGGATCGTATGGTCCACTGGTAGTTGGATCGTATGGACTTCTGTAGTTGGATCGTATGGTCCACTGGTAGTTGGATCGTATGGACTTCTGGTAGTTGGATCGTATGGTCCACTGGTAGTTGGATCGTATGGACTTCCGGTAGTTGGATCGTATGGTCCTCTGCTAGTTGGATCGTATGGTCCTCTGGTAGTTGGATCGTATGGTCCTCTGCTAGTTGGATCGTATGGTCCACTGGTAGTTGGATCGTATGGTCCTCTGGTAGTTGGATCGTATGGACTTCTGGTAGTTGGATCGTATGGTCCACTGGTAGTTGGATCGTATGGTCCTGGTAGTTGGATCGTATGGTCCTCTGCTAGTTGGATCGTATGGTCCTCTGGTAGTTGGATCGTATGGTCCTCTGCTAGTTGGATCGTATGGTCCACTGGTAGTTGGATCGTATGGTCCTCTGGTAGTTGGATCGTATGGTCCTCTGGTAGTTGGATCGTATGGACTTCCGGTAGTTGGATCGTATGGGCTTCTGGTAGTTGGATCGTATGGTCCTCTGGTAGTTGGATCGTATGGTCCACTGGTAGTTGGATCGTATGGTCCTCTGCTAGTTGGATCGTATGGTCCACTGGTAGTTGGATCGTATGGACTTCCGGTAGTTGGATCGTATGGTCCTCTGGTAGTATGGTTGTGTGGTCTTCTAGAAGTTGGCTCCGGCTCATCCGTGTAAGGACTGAAGGTTGGAGGTTCTGTTGTGGAATTACGAGTCACTTCATCGCACACGTACTTGTTGAAACGTTTCCTGAAGGTAGTCTTACTGATCTCATTACGAATCGACAGATTGATGACTGGAATCATCTGCCGGTGAACGAAGTTGAGTACAGCTTGGTAGATTTGAGTGATGAAGGGGACATCATCAGGCTCGTATTTGACCTTGAAGTCGCCGAACTTGACAACTTTGGCATCTTGTAAAATGGCGAAACATGATCCATCGTGTTTGACAAGAACGCGGCCTTCGGATTGGAAAGACTTTTCATTGACGGTTATAGTCAGGTTACCATTTTTTCCAAAAAATGGATAATTAACATGAAATTTATATTTTACTATCAGATTTCTTAAAGCTGTATTCAGTCTGAAGTTATAGACAGTACCATAATGGTTGGTACGAGTTACAATCTTGGGATCTCCAAGAAGCTCCAAAGTGTCGAACTGTCCAAGACGACCCTCACGGTATTGAATTGGTTCGAATATCCATCCGAAATCAGGCAGTGGGATCTCCGTCTTGTTCTGTTGGCGGAAGACCTCATTGGAGATTTCGATGAGGTTCTTGACTACATGGACCTCCGGACTGTCGCAGAACACCGCCCCGAAGACTGCACTCAGCAAGAGTGACTGAAGCACCCAACTCACCATGTTGAGAATGAGCAATAGCCAACAGAACAACCTTTTTATATCAATTCCTCAGCTGAAATTGTATTTACTTGTAATCAATATGAGTCATAACGATCCTTTATGATAACGTTATTTAACTTAGATCATTTAAAATAGCAGTACTCAACTCTTCATTATCCAGCAGAAATCAAGCGGTCTAAGATTCTTGGAAACTATTGACATAGCACATTACTCAAGTACTCATATCTCTTGCTAAGATCGACTCCAAAGTACGTAGTTTCGAAAATGATCACTAATAAATTTTAATAATATGAGAATTAGTTGGTCGGGAGGGAGGGAGGGTGCGGTGACATAAATATTATCTATTAAAATAGTATTTTATTGTTAACGTCTGTGTGTGTGTTAGTATATGTATTTATCAATTTTTATTATTTATTTATTATATATGTGTGTGTATGTATTAATGTGCATATATATATATATATATATATATATATATATATATATATATATATATATATATATATATATATGAGTGTGAGTGTGTGTTTGTGTGTGTATGTGGTACATGGTATGTTTGACATGTATTATGATTTCTTAACCTTTCTTAACGCACCTATCCTTCAACTATATACCATATTATACTCTTCATAATATAGCCTACTATCCCATTACCGTTTTAAAAAAACTGAACGTCAATTGTCATTTATATATAATGTGCCTTTCTTCTTCACCACAATCTTGTTTACAGATATATATATATATATATATATATATATATATATATATATATATATATATATATATATATATAGGACTACAATAAAAGTCAGAAGAGAAATTTAGAACGTAAGTATAAATGTAAACAAGATTGTTTTCTTTATTTCTTTATTTATTAACCTTTAGTTTCTTTATCTGTTAACCTCCATTTATCAATTGTAACCTCTACTAGCTTGTTATCCACTGATATCTTATTCTTATTTTACTTTTACATGATCATTACTTATTCCTTTTACTTTCACTTACGTATATATGGAATATATAGTCAGGGAAAGTATTGCAATCGTGAAAATTTTCGAATCTGAGTTTTCATGGAAATATACGTTTTTATGTACCCTGAGTCCAAACAACCAAGTCCGAAAAATGGTCTGTGTGTATGTGAACACTAGCTCAAAAACGAAAAATGATATTAAACTGATATTACATATTTAAGATAGGTATATGCCTTAGATGTGATAGCAACTTTTTAACGCTGAAACACATTTTTACAATTTTCTCAAAAACGGCTCAAACGATTTTGATTAAACTCGATGTATCATTGTATAATTAAATGATCTTTAATATCGTTTAGGTCTTATCCCCGTTGATGTCACTTTACAGGCCCAATGTTAATATACGTCTTTCTCTAAACTACCTTAAATATGTTTGTTTTTTTTTTTAAATTAACTATTTCTTATTATTAAGCGTTACGAAAAAATGCTAAATATAACTTTTGAAAGAATTTGAGTTAAGGAGAAAAAAATTAAACTCAGATAAAAAAATGCACACCCAGGTCGAGAATGAATCTCCGGAAATACTAGTTAAAAGGTATACCTATAATATATCGTTGGAAAGCGAAAAAAAAAACAATATCTAATATAGGAAGTTGCGGATGGTAATGGTAATGGAAAAACGAAAAATTATAAATAATAATTTGTGGAAATTAATGTTACTAGTAGGCCCGTGCAAAAAATTCGCAAAGCATATTGTGATAAAATGCCAAATTATTAAGAAAATAAAATAATGCAACGTATGAGAAGATAAAGAATTCAATTGTTACTTTATTGATAAATATAAACGACAAAGGAAACAAAAATTAATTTAACATGTTTACAAATTTCAATAAGCTGTATCTTTGCTAAAAATTGTTCGATATAAATGATTTTTTTTTTTTTTTTAGGGACTTTAGTAATCTTTTATATAATCATGGGTATGACTAAGGGAGAGTTATTCGCAAATAAACTTTATTTTCTTTCATAACTTGTTTGCCTGAATTTTCGAGATGACTGGACTATATTGTCCGCCTGAAGGAAAAGGAAGCCTTAAAAAAAAAAAAAAATAATATATATATATTTATTTTTTTTTTATTTTTTTTTTTTAATGGTAATCATCATAATTTTGTGAAGGGAGGGCACATTTTTCCGAGGTTTTTATTAGTGAACTTTAATAATTTTTAAAATGTTGGGAGATAAAGAGGATAAACATATATAC